GCATTGAAATGCTGCTCGACTTTAGAAAAGGGCAGGCTAAGCATACAGAAACACAGGTTTTCACAGAAAGATTTCAGTGTAAGGATATCCCCCAGAGCAGAGAATAGAACCACTGAACCCAGATTTGCATAAGGAAATCGCTTGCCAAGGCTCACTGACCAATTTGTTTTCAGCCATTAAGTTCAGGATTTTTATTTTAAATAAGTGTTCCTTCTTAAGAGCAACCTAGTCGAAAGCAGTTGCTAATTGTTGGTTAATTATCATGAGTCTTTGTACTGGAAAAACTGGCTGGGCAAACCATTGTACAACCACCTATTAGGATTATGTGATGACTCACTATCGCTGAAACACTCTTATGTGCTTAAATCAACAAGATTCCATTTCTTCACAAGAGAAATATCTTCAAATGTTCTCTCTCTCTCTCTCTCTCTCTCTCTCTCTCTCTCTCTCTCTCTGTCTGTCTCTCTTTCTCTCATTTGTTACTTATTTCTAGGGCTAAGAAGAATGAGCTCTTAAAGAAAACAATACCAGAGGAAGATCGTCAACATGACTGAGTTTGAATGTCATTTAATTTTCTCTTTTGGCTGTCTTTTCCCACACCTGAGGTGCACTCTACTCATTTCTGCCACACCCAGAGCATACACACACCCAGATACCACCCAGGATTGTGAAATTTAGAAATGGCACATCGTTCCCTGGATAAGTTTGCTATGCTCACCTAAAATTCAGCTCAAAAAGCAAAGGCTCTGAGCACCCATCTCTTCATGGGTTACACATTTTCTTTCTTCTTGAGCACTTGGGTGAAAAAGATTTGGACACAAAGTACCTGAAAGTAAAAGCAGCCTTCTCCCCAGGCTTCTCATTCTGATCAAGAACATTCTATGATATAAACAAGACAAAATGGTTGAGTATGATACAACTATATTTACGACCTCCATTTCATCTCTACAGCTACCCTTCATAAGATATGCTTTCTGCAACATAAATTTCATAGTACTCTATAGATGTTAATTAAAGCACACCATTTTATGTAGTCTATGGGTGGTTCTGGTTCTAATGTCTAAAACTAAACTGTACTTCAGTTAGGATCAGATCATACATAATATCAAAACGGCCACTTAAGAAAAGCAATCTATATCATATATATCGTTCTCTATATTACATAATTCACAAAGCTTTAGTGGAGCTACAAGTGCCCTCTTCAGCAAGTTTCCCTGATCAAGATGGCATGCCCCAGTTTCCACCACACCCATGGGATATTTTGGAAAAGGGCTTATATGTGTAAGGCTTTAAGGTGATGATTCACATGGCCCAATCACAGAGGAGTGCTCTGAAAAGGCAGAACACTCTTTCTAACATAAAGGAACTTTCTTATATGCTGTAGTGGGGCAGACAAGTCCAGGTCCTGGCTGTATCATTTTTTACAGACACACATCCTCCATTGCCTTAGTTGCCTTACTCATCCACACCATGTCCAGAAGAACCAACTGCCACCCAGACCTGGTCTGTTGTTGGTTGTTGTGTGTGTGTGTTTTTTTTTTTTTTGCTTTTTACTTCTTGGGGGGCCCATCACCCAGCTACCAAATAACTCACACATGGAGGCTTATTCTTAATTATAATTGCCCAGCCTTAGCTTGACTTGTTTCTTGCCAGGTTTTCATAACTTAAATTATCCCAGCTGTCTTTGCCTTGGGGCTTTTACCTTTTTCTATTTCTGTATATCTTTCTTTATTTCTTACTCCTGGCTTGCTGTGTAGCTGGGTGGATGGCCCCTGATATCCTCCTCCTTCTCTGGCTACTCTTTTTCTCCCCCAGATTTCTCCTTCTATTTATCCTCTCTGCCTGCCAGCCCCGCCTATTTCTCTCTCCTGCCTCACTATTAGCCATTCAGCTCTTTATTAAACCATCAGGTGTTTTAGACAGGCACAGCAACACAGCTTCTCAGAGTTAAACAAATGCAGCATAAACAAAAGTAACACACCTTAGAATACTATTCCCCCACACTGGTCCATTACTGGTTTGATTCCCCACCATCTCCACTCTTCTCTATCACATGTCCCCAAACGTGGGAGCCAGGTAGACTCCTGCTGCTTGCAGTGTGAAGTAGGAGAGCTCAAGGGATCCGCTAGAAGGGGAGGAAAGCAAGGTTTGTATGCCCTCCCTCAATGCTAATTCCGTGTCCTGTCCTACTAACCTCTGCCCCAGCACCCTCTACTCCTTTATTACTACTCTCATTGCTGATGTTGACTAGTTGTCTGACCTTTGGAAAGCTACTTCACCAAGCAACATGCTTCTGTTTCTTCTCAGAACAGGCAAGAAAAATATAATCCTTATGACAGGGTCAGGTGAGATTTATATGGTTAATATGTGGGACGTCCTTAGGGCGGAGCATGCTAATTAGCCTGATCGTTATCTTTGGGTTTAACCCACAGGAAGACATCTGGGGCCTGTCATCCTACTCTGAGAATGTGGAGTGGGCGTTAGGTCAGGTCAACTACCAGGCCCAAGGGACAGACCTCTAACTAATCCACTGGATCACATGCTCTCCACCCCCTCCCTCGTTTCTTTCCACCCCATCCCCATGCAGTCTCTCTCTTCTCTCCCCCTCCACACCTGGCAGTTGGCACCTCTTCAGAGCCTCCCAACAAACTGAAGTTTCTTGCATGTGTTAGCTGCTGTGGAGAGTGTCATTCATTTTTTGCCTTCTAGGAATTTGATAGAGATTTCTGGTCAGCTTGCAGGACCCTCTCATCATGGATTATTTCCTGTGATACTGGTTTACTGTTCTGTGGCTTTTTTCTGTTCTACTAGAAGATATGAACTGAATTCCTCTACTCCAGCACCTTGAATTGAAAGCTTTCAGTTCATAGTTGAAAACTTCCATCTTAATAAATAATCTTTTATTTTTAGTAAACAAATTAACAAAAAAAAAAAAAAACCCTCCTGCCTCCATAGCAATGTGATTTTAACCAGCCAAACTCCTGAACACATTTGAAACAAAGCACCAAAAAATACAGCTTCACCTTAGCCTTTTTCCCTTCCCCCTAGAACAGTTGAGTAAATTAATTGAATAGTCATTGTACAATGCCTGTGAACAGGAGGATTCTGTTCAATTCCTAACACAGATGAAGATGCTGAGACCTTTGAGGAAATGACCCGCTCACACCTGCACAGCCAGCAGGAGCCACAGTTGCGGACAGACTCACAGACCCTTCCAGGAGAACCTCGGACGCAAGGCAGGTTCTCAACACGCAGGCTTATTTAACTCATAAGAATATCTCTCAGTAACTTGGAGGAAACCCAGCCTGATTGAGACGTTATGGTTCTGGTCTCCTCCGGCATATCATGGCCATTCTTTCCATAGTGTATGGCTTGGGAGCTAGAATTAATCACCCGGTGGAAAGCAAAGGATGTGATGTATTACCCCTTTGTTACAGTCAATAGCAAGTGGCACTTAGCACTTCTGGCTACTCACAGAGTGCGCATGAGATAATTGTTTGAGATCCCAGCACTGCTTATTTAAAGGGCGGGGACTCAATATAATTAGGTAACTAAAAACTACCTCAGCCTTGCCGCGGGGAATCTCAGGCAAGGCACTGCTGGTCTCTAGGTGGTTTCTCAGTCAGGTCTGTCCAGAATTCTCGAGACCTTTCCTAGTGCTTGTTGTAGATCTGTCGCGGGGAATCAGAACCTCTGGGGCCTGGAGGACCTGCGAACTTAGGTAACGGTGCAAGAAATGGAACATTCAGGAAGTAATGCCACTTAGTGTATCTTTGTCTCCCGTGTTTCCAGTGAAAGGCTTCTTCTGTTCTATCGGTTCCCTGCCCCCACAACTCGTATTTCCCCTAAAACATTTACCACTAAAATACAGTGTGTTATGGATTGGGGAAGGGAAGAAGAAAGTCGAATAGGTCACAACTCGAAAGTGCATGTTCTGGAGAAGTCTGTAACCCGTCATCCTTGGACAACAGACTCAAGTCTTGTCATCTCTACATCCATTGTCTTCTTGAAATAGCTATGCTATTATTTTGGCAGATGGGAATTTTAGCACTAATTACCAGTTTGAATTCCCAACCTGTCACAGAAAAGTTAGATTAAAAAAAAAAAAAACAAAAAAAGGTGTAAATTTATGATGAAGTACTTACCTCATATATCAAAAGGCATAAGATGAAAATTCCGTGCCAAAGACCAACCAGCCGAAAGAAGCAGGAAGGCAGAATGCTTCCATCCTTCTGCCCACCCGTCACTGCCCTGCTTCACACTTTACAGGCACTCTGGTAGAACCAACTTTCAACCGATGATGGGGAAGGGTTTGAATGGGAAGGTGGGCAGGGAAGGCAGACTACCACCTCCACCCCTGGATGGAAGAGGGCCCATCCCAAAGAGGAGGCTCACAACCAGGAGACGAGAGAGGGGTGACCAACCAACCCATCAACTAACCCACACGAGTGAATCCTAGAATCTGAACCTGCCAACATTAATCCACTGTGGGCCCAGCTGGATGGACACTGTCTGATATCTGCACGCGTGGTGTTGCTCACTGAGAGGAAGTACACGTCAGACTTTTAGAGTTCGTTACTACACTAAAAAATATGATTGACATGAGGGGAAGGGTCAACCCAAACCTAAGATGCACAAAAATGACAAAAAGTTTGGGCGGAGAGATACTGGCTCCACAAGTGTTCTGAACTGTCTAAATGTAGGCTTAACAAACGGATGGTTTTCAACCCAAACCCAAATAAATAATGTAATATAATTGGGTTCAATGAAAGCTCCTTACGGTTTATGACAATGAATTCCTTAGGTACCCCAGTACACAAGATTAAAGTTGTAGGATAAACTTTTTAAAATGCAATTGAATACCTAAACAAGACCAAAACCCTTAAAAGTGAGACATGAAACTTCATTTTGTCTAATTTTCTTACCCATTGGAAGAATTTTTAATTCCTCTCACAGAATGGAAAATTAGCAACAACAACAACAAAACCACAAGCCAGACATAGGATTTGAACACCTGGTTTATTGGGGGGGAAGCTGGAGATGAAAACTGCAACTGCTTTTGCTGCAACTTACAAAATAGTCATCTGCTGTATAAAATAAGCGGGTTCCCATTACGTGAGTATAAATGGTAAAAATACTAATCATAGCCCATCCAATATCTATGCAGAGAAACTCATTGCTGAATTCTCCAGTTGTATGTGTTAGATCAGACAGTTTCAGTCTGTTTACCAAGGAAGACCAGGTTCAATTATATTTAGGTTTCTGTTACAGTTAAAATCTGTTAAGGCTGAGATGATGAAGGGACATTTCTTCTCCTCAGGGTGTTTGGACGGCACTGCAGTAGCAGTGGTGACCCTCCTGTGCCTTCCTACCTGAGGCCATCACATCCACCAGTCAGGATGAATCAGACCTAATCCATCCTCGCATCCCGTCGATGCTGGTTCTGAGCATACAGACACGAAACTGTACAGACTTGGTATGGCTTCTTCCAACGCCCCACCCCTTTAAACTACGTCAAACTCCATTAAAAGAGGGAATTTCATTATAGTATTTCAGTAGTGACAGCGGCCTGACTGTTGGCACTTGCTTTGGCCATGGGAACGCTTCCCCACATGTCGCAGCAAGTCAACACGAAGCTAAGCGAGACAGCAATTGTTCAAAACACTGACTAGCAATTCCCACAAAGGATGCTCATTTAGGAAAGCGTTCTGCCTCTTTATGTAACTGAAAACGTCAAAAAGTTTGTTTTGTTCTTGGCATTAATTTTTAGGATGTTTGGTCACTGAGATTATTTTACCAATAACTCCCTCTCTCCTTAGCCCTTAGTAGAAATAATCTGTTCTAACTTGAAAAAACGAAAGCTTGGTCAGATAATTAAGTCTCAGAAGCCATCTCGTTTCTACCTTATTAAGTTCCACATGCACACTCTTTAACAACAGCAGTTTAAATGATACAGATTTGATGTAAGGAGAAATTAGCATAAAATTAGCAAACAGAAACAAGTCTTTTCTAACTCCACAAGACGTACGCAGGACATGAAACTTAACGCTATTTACGAAGCATTTTCTTTAACATTTATTCCAGCATTTCTGATCATAGGAACACTGCCCAAACATAGGTTCCTTGTGGCTTGGAGAACAGTTTCCTCCTCAGGACCCGTCTTGCAGCAGGGCTTCTCTTGGGGGTCTCCCTCCGACATTAGGCCGATGTGTAGAAGTACCTGGGCTTGGCATTGCCCAGCAGGTCATCCTCGTAGTTGGGGAGGCAGCAGAAGAAGAAGGAACAGCCGATCAAGATGATGGTGGCCGCCCATCCGAAGCCGTAGGCCCAGTTATAGATGTAATTGACAGCGGGATTATTATGAAGGTCAAAGGTTTGTGTGTACTTCACTGGATAGATTACCAGGGAGATGATCTGGAAAATAGCTAAAGGGAAGGAAAAAGAAGCTCAGAGTATGGAAGTACAAGTGAATGAATACATGAATGAATGCACAGTGTACTGGTTGGTGTCTGTCAACTCAACCCAAGCCGGAATCTCCCAGGGAGGAGGGAACCTCAGCTGAAGATATGCCTTCATCCGATTGGCCTGCGGCCATGGCTGTGAGACGTTCTCTTGATTCAGGGTTGGTGTGGAAAGGCCCAGTGCACTGTGGGCAGTGCCACCCGTGGGCAGGTGGTTTTGGGTTGCATAAGGAAGAAAGCTGAGCACTGAGCAAGCCAGCGAGCAGGGTTCCTCTATGATTTCTGCTTTAGTTTCTACCCCCCCCCCCTGTCTGAACTCCTACTCTGGCTTCGCTCATAAAGTGTAATAATAAACCCTTTGCTTTTGGTCGCGGTGTGTATCCCAGCCAGCTAGGACACACAGTCACAATACCGCCATTCACAAAGCTTCTCCCTTTAATGACAGGGTCTCTAAAAGGATGTTTAGTGGCTAGAGGAATTTAGCTACTAATCACGGGCCAAAACAGATGAGTGTTAAGAGATGCCTGGGAGCAAGGTGTGTCCTACACAGACACCAGGGAGAAAACAAGTGGGAAGTAAATCACTCTGCGTGACGTGAGGATCTAACTGGACAAAACCATTACTTGTCCTCCCCATTGTTCTACCATAATAAGTTCTTTCTAGAGCACCACAGATAGACGCTAAAGCGTTTCCTATTTCCCTTCTTTCCTTCCTTCCTCCTCTCCTCCCTCTCTTTCCCCCCCTCCCCTCTCTTTCTTTCTTTCCTTTTCCCCCTTCCCCCTCCCCTTCCTACTCCCTCTCTCCCTCCCTCCCATTTCCAAGGACAAATCAGAAAGTATAACTGCCGGAGGTCCTCCGTGGAGAGCCACAGAGACCGACTAGAACATTCTCCCCACGCCCACTGACAACAAATGAGGATCTGCTGGCACTCTTGTCTTACCAGCCAGGGCGAGGAGGCCTCCAATAACTCTCAGGAAGACGAGCATCTGGGGTCCACACAGGGCGAAGAAGGAGAGAATGAAGCAGATGACCAGGATGATGAAGCCACAGAAGAGCGTGGCGGCAGCCGCTCGTCCCCACGCTGCAAGACAGAGACACGGACGTTTGTAAGACAGACATGCCAGGTCCCAAACTGCTGGTCAAAGCATCCGACCCCCACCCTCCAGGAGAGAGTTTTGGGGGAGGGGAGGGATTTTCTTTTGTTTTGTGAAGGGGTTGGGAATAGGTAAGTATCTCCACACTTCAAGGGGGACAACTGGAAAATATTATGGATTATTATTTAGTTTCTATTAATGTCTGGCTTCATTCAGAAGTTATTTCACAAGAGTTCTTCATTACTGGCCTTGGTCTTAAAAAGAATTGGGGTGAGGCAGAATCTGACTTCTGTGTTTGAAGGCCTACACGGCAGTACTAGCCCCGTGCCCTTCTGTTCTGTGAGCGAGGAAGAAAGGAGATCTACCAGCCAAGTACAACCCACTCACTAACCCCCATCCTTCAACTCACACGGACTCCTCATCTCTTCACATACACCCCGGCATCCAGAGCCGGCGGTTAGCATCAGGAGATGCACTAGTTCCTCAGAACAACTTCTGCAGGCTCACCCCACCCTCATTGCCAGTTTCGAAGTAAAGGGAGACTCCAGAAGTGAGGCTAACACACAGATGGCAGATACGTAGCTGGCCATCTAGCCTGTCTGAGTCCAACACATACATTTAAAAAGATGTGCATGATCCCCTGCACGGGTGTTGGTTGTGTTGGCTGATATATGTGTGTGTGTGTGTGTGTGTGTATGTACATGTATATGTATATATATACATATATATATATATATATGTATGTATACACACACACACACACACATATCCAGAGAGCTATGATACCATCGCCATTAACAAGTCCTGAATATTTTCATCATGCCTGAAGGAAACCACATACCATCTGCAGTCACTCCCCATTCTGTCCCTCACCACCACATCCCAAGTTCTGGTGATCATTCGTCTTCCTAATTTGCGCATCCTAGATATTCCCCGCTAACGGAACCTTACACTCTGTGACTTTGTGTGACTGGCTTCTTTCACCAAAGTATTTTTTAAAGATGAGCCATTTCAGAGCATGAATTAGCACTTCACTCTTTTTTTTTTTTCAGCTCAGCATTTTCTTGCACACAAATTCCACATTTTCTTTACCCACTCACTGGCGAATGCTCTTATTTTACTCTTCACTGAATTTTAAAGGGGAGCTCTGTGCCCCTTCCCTGGGTTCTACTTCTTACTAAAATACAGCACAGCCAACGACACACCCACTGTATGCACAGTCATTTCAGTGCTCAGAGTCAAACACTGGCCCTCGAAAAAGCAAGGGGTTTCGAGGCAGCTAGAGCTCATGGACGCCCTGCCTCTGCCAGCTGCTAATCATGTGACCACAGGCTCCTCATCGGTGAACTCAGCCTAAAAAAACGCCTGGCTGCAAGTTGTGAGGATGAGTACCTGCGTGCAAATCATCCTCTGGTAATTCCCTAGCCCCCTTTGTCCAAAGAGTTTCTTTCCTGTTCCCATAATGTCTTCCCAGAACCTCAGATTTTTCACCTCCTTCCACACTTGCGAGGTTCTGTATTATCCCTAAAGATTTCTATCACCCATTTTCCTATCCTTATCTGCTGCCGACAAATGTGGGCGAAGCTGCCTATTTTTCCCTTTTCCAGGGGCCTCATGCCCTAAAGGGCTACCTCAGGTACATGGCTGATTGGGCATCACAAATGAGTAAGAAGAACAAAGATTTTTATATATCTTCCAATACATGTTCTCCTCCAAATGACCCCTCAGCTACGGGGGCAGGAGGGGTGAGATGATCTGTGATTGGACCCAGTTTGAGAGGTGTAGTTCTTACTACTCCCCGCCCCCAAGTCTCGTTCTTCTTGTTACACCAGTGAGAGATTTTAGGGCGCGGTTAACACCAGAATATTTTGTCTTAAAAACACATGAACGAAGCCAAGGCCGGAATATACAATTCAAAGTCTCTTTTCTCACTTTTGCCTCTTCTTTTTTTGTGTAAGAAATTCTTTAACTGGGAAAGGACTACGCTGTAGTAGATAATTAATTGATCAGATCTTCTTAAGGGTAGCCCATAGACCAGAATGTCATATTCAGCAACGGTGCTTATTAAAATACAGATTCCGCCGGGCGGTGGTGGCACACGCCTTTAATCCCAGCACTCAGGAGGCAGAGCCAGGCGGATCTCTGTGAGTTCGAGGCCAGCCTGGGCTACCAAGTGAGTTCCAGGAAAGGCGCAAAGCTACACAGAGAAACCCTGTCTCAAAAAAAAAAAAAAAAAAAAAAAAAATACAGATTCCTACGCCTCCCTCCAGACCTCCTGCATCAGGGCTTGAAAGACTGGGTCCAGGCAGCTCAACTGTTAATAACCTTGTGGTTCTTCCATTCTTGCCAAAGAGCTGCTTTAGTTCCCACACAACTGGCTTCACCGTGACTTTTCCACACACGTGTTCTTGTGTGTTGATCAAATTCACCCTCACTATTCCGCTTCCTCTCCTTCCCTCCTCCTCCCTCCTCCTCCCCTTTTTCCCTCCTCCTTCCTCCTCCCTCCACTCCTTCCCTCCTCCCTCCTCCCCATCCTCCTTCCTCCTCCCTCATCCTCCCTTTCTTCCCTCCTCTTCTTCCCTCCTCCCTTTCTCCCTCCAGAGAGTCTCTCTTGCTTTCAGGTAGTGTGTGTTAATGTGTATGTGTGGTGGGGGAGGAGATCAAATCTGGACTCTGCATAGGAGACAAAAGTGTAATATCCTTTCTTCTCCTGTCCCTGCCATCAGTCTCCGCTGCTCCCTTATGCCCCTTCTGTAAGCATCCTGAAGACTGAGAACAAGAATTTAGATGAGTAAGCTCTATAACACGGAAGCAGTGCTACCCCCAAAAGCTCACAGGTTTCAGTATGTGACCCGATAGCAAGCAGTCTGTTTGTTTCTTTGTTTGTATGGTTACTGCCAGCCATCAAGTTCAACGAAGTTAACTGTTGCATTCAAAAACTGTGTTTCCCTCTGTGAAGCCAGGAAAGGCAAAACACATCTACGCAAGCACACAGAGAGTGCAGAGACACAACAGTACATCAGGCAGCAGCGTTTGATTTTCGTAAGAACAGAAATGTTTCCTAACAAGGAACGTACTATAGGAACTGAGCTGCCGTGATCACAGGCCATCTAGAAAGCTTAGATAAATAAGTTCTGTGTAATGGTGTCATAGTCATCTAACCTGTTCATCTGAGGTCAGCTAGAATGACACAAACAGGCTACTGCTGTGACTTCTTCCTCTGATACTTAGCTGAAGTGTAACTCACACTTAATTTCAGGAATGTGGAGAGAATTACATAAAAGGAATAGTAACCTAATATACATACCCGACACCAACAGGCGAACGTATCATTAAAATGGACCATCTGGGGCACTTTGCCTATTAAATCAATCTGTTAATGTCTTGCTTACTTAAAATGCTGACTCTAAAGAAAATCAAAATGGAAATTAAGCAACATTTTCTCTTGAGAAAAGGCACTCCTGTTGTATGTAGAACACGTCAAACCTGCTCCTTGCACCACGGTACACTGAATCACTTAACTATCATTTAGACTGAAATCTTGGCATGGTCTTAAAGATCCTAGCTGATACAGGACAGACTTCTCCAAGCAAGACAGCACGCCTTCTGAGGTCAGCAGCAATTTTCTTTTAGGATGGAGGGGCCCGCCTGACCAGGTCTGAGCAGGAGGTTCAAGACCTAATGTTCTGTCTGAGAAGAGGACTGTTGGCCAGACAGACATTAGCACCACTTTCTCACTATATACATTAAAAAAAAAAAAAAAGCTAAAGTACTTGTGTGTCAGGTACCTTCAATTTCATTTAGTTGCCCAGGAGCTTAACATCTACAGCTGTACACAAGTCTTTGGGAACTGTTTCTACTTTATATTATGTGACGATTCAAATTACATCTCAGTTATCAACACTGAGGAAAAGCATCCATTTTTCAAAACATGTCCTAAATCTTCCTCTTTTGTGATTTGATGGCTCACAGCTCTTGGCAGGCAGAGTTCATCTCTATCAGTTCTGAACAAGTCTGTCCTTCCTTACGATTTTACACACTAAACTTTACGACCGGTCCTAGTTGTGTGGAGGTGATTCACTATCTGGACTGAGATGACAGAAGCCAGCAGGGCTCCAGGGAAACAGAGTTTCTGGGTAAAAATTGTTCATTGGCTTTGCCTCCTACTAGGAAGAGCGATCTGCTGCTTGTGTTTTAAGTACGACTTTGCAAAGTTTATGCTATGAGAGAAACCAAGGAAAAAGGAAAATATTGCTTATATTCCTAATCTGTAAGTGTTTTGGAAACGTACTAACTTCCTTTCCCATCCCCAAATTAGTGTTTTCCTATGGATTTGCTATATTCTTCATAGATTTTACATGTGGACCAAACAGACCAAAATAGTTGTGAGGTTGTGAGGTCCACCCCATTGCCTGGGGTCCACCCAAGACTCTGAGCGCACTGATGTGTCATCAAACTGAAGTGGGGTCCCTTTCTAGAACATACAAGCACATATTAGTACATACAAGTACATTCTAGAACATACATTCTCCAACCAGCAATATCAAAGGTCCCACTTAGAGGAACAGAGTTCTTAACATGTGTTTTGTGTACTGTTTCTGTGAGGTTTTTTATGCCATTCACAGGCAGAAGTGGAATCTGGATATTTTAAAAGTCAAAAGATCATACGTGTAAGTAAAGATGGGTGAATGTGACATACAAAAATACTGTTTTGCATATTCAATAGGGAGATAAAGGCAGAGGCATAACCTTTGGAATACCATCCATTTGGAAGCTTTTGCAACAACACCCCAAACCCGTCCTGCCTCCCACTCCCAGGGAACTATGTGTGGTCGGGTTGAGACACAGGAATCCAGTGACCTCCCAGGTCCTTCAGATAAAGCAGAATTTAACACTGGAGGAGCAAAACTCCCAAGGACAAATAAGAACAGACCTACAAAACGTATGTATATAAGACCAAGCCATCAGCCTGCAGAAGTTCTGGAAGGCAATAAGGAATGGCTGGCCTAGTGGAGAAATGGCAGGAGAGCCACAGGCAAGGCATTACAGGAGAATCCTTACACACTTGACACTTCCTCCTGAAACCCAGCTGGGTGGTGGCTAGTTACCACTGTATTTGCACAGAACTCTTGTCAGAAATGGGAAGCTACACCCCACTGCAGCCAACAGACCTTCAAATATTTAAAAACTATTAATTGAATGCCGGACAGTAGGACTGATGGGGAGTACATTTCTCCTCAGTCCACATAGGAGAAGTACTTGTAACCAAGTAGCATGGTCCAAGGGGCAGAATGAAGTCCTCAAATAGAAGGAAGCTGCTTGGGGAAAGCTGGACCCCAGCCCTTTATTTCCTTTCTAGTCCCACAGGTTCAGAAGTCCGTGTTCTTAGGGGCAGAGCCAAATGGAGTCCCTCCCAACACACCGAGGTTCTCTGGGGTGCTACTGGAACAAACAGATAGTGGGCTAGCCTGTGCTACTGGAACAGACAGTGGGCTAGCCTGTACCATGGGTACTTAACACCTGGAGTTTACTCATCGGTGTATATTTTAAAGTTATCCCATCAAAGGAGTGGGCGACCCTTGAATTTGCTGTTAAGAATGTGAACATATGAGCCGGGCGGGGGTGGCGCACGCCTTTAAATCCCAGCACTCGGGAGGCAGAGCCAGGCGGATCTCTGTGAGTTCGAGGCCAGCCTGAACTACCAAGTGAGTTCCAGGAAAGGCGCAAAGCTACACAGAGAAACCCTGTCTCGAAAAACCAAAAAAAAAAAAAAAAAGAATGTGAACATATGTACGTGCAGGCACATGAAATCTATCTGCTAATCTAACCTCATAAAATATCAACAGCTTGTCTCCTGTCCCCTCCCACCAGCAAACTCCCCCACCCCTCCCATCCCAGCACACTCCCTCCAACCCCTTCCACCTGGGCATACTCCCCTAACCTCTCCCACCCCATCATCCTACCCCCAAAGCTGCAAGAGAATAAAGGCTTTTCTGGTGAATTTAGCCTAATGTAAATGATTGGTTTGAACTTATTTTTCTCATGTCCTGCACTTTCAGGAACCAAGGCGCTTAATGATAAAACATTTCATAGGATTCTCTATTTTTTTTTTTTTTTTGGACTTGTGGAAAAGTGATGTCCAGGGAAAACACTGGGTGCATATGAAGGGATTCAAGGGATGTCTTTGGTAAAACTGAGGTTCTGTGTTTCACAGTCTACACTCCAGACTCTGACTTTCCACAGCCCTTCCTCTTCTGGGGCATACCTCATCCCCATACCCTCCACCCTGACAAGCCAGAGCTTGCCTGGGACCCGAAGTCTGTGAGCTGAAGCTTAAAATACATTCCTGTGAAAATATTCTCTACACTGGAAAAGAAGGTGCCAGCATTTCAAAAGCGGCGTGTGCATACTCACTGAAGTTTTATTCTGAGTTTGGCTTACAGGAGAAACTTGAATGATCAGTTTAATCGTCAATTTAGACTCTCGCATATTCTTCTTGACAAACTCAAACCAAAACATTCAAACAAGTATTTGTTAAGATAAATATCAATTTAGCTGCCACCATCACAAAATATTCAGGGTCTAACTTGGCTTATTTATTTGTTTAGAAAAAGATGAGATGACCTTGTAACCCACAATTCTTAAAATTTTAACAATAATGATGAAGAATATAATATTGCTGTGCTGTATATTCATTTATTCCTAAGAAATCATTGGCCTTTATAAAACATGCATACTCTTTAGTATTATTGTCAACATCACTAAGAATAACCAATCCTTACTACCAAAATAAAAGTATTAATGTTAGGAATATCACTTGGCAAAACATGGTTGTCAAACACTTTCTAATGAAGGTCCTGCTTTGTTAATAGCTTCAAACAAACATTACTTCCTAGTATCATTAAGAAGCATTCTAGAGGGGGGCACACATGCTCAGTTCTGTGTATTGATACAGTTTTAAACAGACCCACCCTGCTTGTTCCTTGCCATACAAAACGCAGCGCTCACACACTGTGGGAGTGTGTACATTCCACACTGTGTGAGCTCCCGCAAGCACACTGTGAGCTCCAGCAAGGCCCTATTGAAACTTTCTGGAGATCTATAGAGTTCCCGACTGTCCAGATAATTACCCTAAAGTGTAGGACACACCATTCTTTTACAGTTGCGTCGAAGACTAATCAGAAGTCCACAGAGAATGAGCAAAGGAAGAAGCATTTCAACTCATCTCTGTCTATAATGGGGAGATTCAGACGGTGCAGTGGCTTCCCACCTCTTGTCTCCTTCCACAGCTTGACAAGGAGGCCAACTTTCCATTGGTGATATGCGTCTAGGTGTTGAGCAAGAGCTGTCTACCACAACATGGGCACTTAATCACCTCTGCAAAGGTAACTCCCCTGAGGTATTCAATTGCTTTAACACATGTCTCCTAGCATTAAAACCAGACACTGCCTCATGAAAGTACTAAGCAATTTTTCAAGATTCCTTCGGGAAACTAAGGTTTTTTTCTAAGGCTGATTTCTATAGCGAATTGAAACAAACTTTACCCTGGGTGGGTGTTTGCTTAGAGCAGAAAAAAGTTAAGGCTTCAGACTCATGGTTAAAGAAACAAACTAGAAACAAAACTTGTTTTTCCCTTTGATTTAAACGGTAGTGGATCAGCCTGAGGTTAGAGCAGGCACACCCTAAAAGATGAGCTCACCCTACAAGGCAAGAAACATGGAAATGGCATTGTGTGTGTTTCACAAGAGGGCCCTGCAGGTTAAATCATGTCCCAGCAAGAACACTGATCCTGCCTCTGCAAGCTGACTCCACTACTGAGTACTCTTTGGGGCTGGATCCACCTTGGAGTAAGCTATAATTAACAAAGTCTATTTTAAAAATCTACACGCATACCTCTTAAGCCCTCTGAAAGAGACTGAGTTCGAATGCATTTTAAGATATAGCTAGGTTATTCCAAGGCAATACATTCCCTGTAAGACCCTAAAAGATTTGTAGCAACAGGAAGTTCTGTCCGCCAAGCATTTGTGTCTTTGTGTTTAGGGAGAGCACAGGCCGTAAAGAAAGCAGGAACAGCTGCCAGTTTTATTACCTGCCTCCTTGTCTGGGGAAGTTCCCCCAGAAAGAATAAGCTATATCAGGCAGCTGATAAGGGGCCCAGAACTCAGGCCCAGCAGCAGCTGGCAGAAGCCCTGGGTGGGCTACTCCAGGAAAAGGATCGAGTTATGGTGAAACTAGAAAATGAACAGGGAAAAAAAAAACTTGCTTTTGTCTGTTTAAAAGGATAATATAGATTACTAAAGCTTTGACTGTGGTAGTCCTTACTCCCCGACAAGCTGCCAATCACTACTGTATCGAGGCTAAACCAGAGGGACATCCACTTCGGGAAGAAAACTGCTTTTTTCCCAAGAACTACTACTGACTGTTAAATCAAGTACTGGGGCTTCTCCGGGGCGGAGGCCTCCTGCGATGTGTTAAAAGTGCCAACACCACTTCACTAGAGTGAAGTGTTTACTTCTCCGATTTTAAACCAGATTCAGATAAAGTTTGCTAACAGTCACGATTCAACTAAGGCCCCTCCCCAGAGCAAGCGTGGACACAACCAGCTCGACAGCTAAGACTCTGAAGTATCTACTGAAATCACAACTTCTCCCACTTTGCCTGAAAGGACTTTCTCATGAGGAAAAAAAAAGAGTTTAAGTTAGACGTAGTGTAACGAATCCACACCAGCACGTTATTTTAATACTTACCTTGCGTTGGCTGACATCAGCTGGCGCAGGGAACTGACAAAACTTTTATTTTTAAATGAGTTGGGCTAGTCTCTTTCGGGGTTTGGGCCTGATCTGGGTCACCTAAAACTGCTGCTTCATCTGGCTCAAGCCAGATTCTGGAGTCTGAGCTCTGAGCGGGCCTTTGACGCAGCCGCTACCCCTGACCCCCTATCAGACAGGCCCCAGCGGCTGCCGCAGGTTCGGTTCCCAAGGGCTTCCCGGGAGGCGGCGGGCCACTCACCGAAATCCATGAGGCTCTGGCAGCCTTGTTCGTAGGAGCCGCTGCCGCCGCCCTCTTCGAAGCATCTCCACCAGAGCGAGGAGGTCTGGAGGTGGGTGCTCGACTGCAGCCAGCCGCGGCCGGCCAGCGCGATGATGTCGAAGGCGATGGCGCTGAGCAGCAGCAGGGGCAGGATCCACCTGCAGCGCTCGCAGGCCAGGCCGCAGCGCAGCATGTCGTCCGTCGGTGGCGGCGGCGCGGAGCGGAGGAGCGCGACGGGGCACGGTGGTGGAGAGTGGCCCCCGCGAGCGCGGACACGGCGACTAAAGGAAGAGGCGGCTCCCTCCGGGGACGCGGCCCCGGGGGCTGGCGGCGGGGGCGCGGCGGCGCGCGGGGGCCACACCTAGATTCCGGTGACTCAGAGCGCGCCGCCCCGACCTGCCGGGTCACCCGGGCTGCAGAGCTCAGGCCAGCCCCGGGCTCCCCGCCAGGGTGGGCGTGCCTGTGCCTCCCGCCGCCTGCAAGTCCCACCCGATCGCCGCCTGCAAGTCCCACCCGATCGCCGCCAGCGCCGCGCACACACCTGTGGACGCTCCAGCGCCAAGCCAGGCCTCTGCCCTAAGCTGTGTGCACACACCGTGTGAGGAGCGCTGGCTAAGGCCACACTCGAGCTCCAGGCACCCTGTCTGAGACATCCCAATGGCTTGTGAATGAATAAATGAGGGGCCCTGAAATGTAAGGACTTGTGCGCTCAAACCTGGAAGTCCCTGGCTCCCGCAAGCAGAGACTGCACTTCCTGCCGGGATCCACCTTTGGACCTTGACTCTTGCCACCATAGACACACATCTGTTTGCTCGCCCGTCCGTCCTTCCTGGCAGCGATGGGTGGCACAGTCTAGGCTGCAAGAAGCCATCTCCACTTCTGGGTGGCTTTGGTGTCTAACTTCCAGTCTGGATCCATCAGGGAGCTCAGAAACTCTGATGGATGCCCACAGTTCCTGTAACAAATGCTTTTACTCTTGAACTCTTTGCCTGTTGCTCCCCGCAGATAACGTCATGTTCCCTTTGCCCCAGTTAGGACGTTCCCTACACATCTAACCTGGGTAGACCTCGTTCTATCCACTTCACACAATTTTTGTTTTTTGTTTCAAGTAAAATCACATGTCAGCACACAGCACCAGCGTCCTGAGCCAGCTTCTGCCCCTGAGAATCAGGTGTGGCAGGGAGGGTGGGGCAATATCCAGGAGTGGCACTGAGAGAAACAAGTTCTCAGTGCCAGGCGCCATGGTAGCCTGGGACAGGTCAACCAAAACATTCGTGAGTGTCACCTCTGACCCTGTACCCCAAGGATCTTCTGAAACCTCACATTATCTTAAAGAAATGGAAAGCGGTGCTTCCCACTTAATCGTTATGACAGGACGCTCACAATATAAGCCGAGTAGTGTTTTTTTCTGAGTTCTCAGTTACTGAGGATGCGAAGATCTGTGCCTGAGAGCACAGGATATCCCTGGCCAGCCTTCACTTCACAGAAACCAAGTTCACACATTGTCATTAGAGGCCAATATTTCAGTTTCAAAACCCAGCAGGGGCGTGTGCTCTGGGCAAGGTTAACTGTCCGCGTTGTCGATGGTGTGGAGACAAGTGTGACGCTGACATCCTAAACTTTAGGACCTAAAGGCTTTCAAAAACAACGAAAGTATTGGCTATGTCTAATATACTTTTACTGATCAAATGAATTCTAATTGGTGTCTTCTTGAGTAATTTTCGACCGTGTGTAATGTTGCCTCATTCCAGTGATACAATTTCCAGTGTTCGGAGGAGTGGAGCTCATCAATACTAAGCTAGACAAAGGCAATTGGACGTTCAGAATCTCTGAAAGAGATGACTGCTTCTTTAGGTTCTGTAGACTCGAAGGGGGATAAGAAATAGTTTGTTTTGGAGCCAAATTCGAGTGATGAATGCCCAGAAACACAGATGTAGGTTCCCCAAATACATGTTTCAAAACAGAAGCAGTTTTGTGGAGTTTTTATGGTAACAGAACAAAGAAAGTTACAAATTGAGGCATTTAAAAAAATAATTAGTAGAAACAGGGAGGTAGGTAGCTTAGACAGGCAGAGGGATCTCAATTACAGACCTCAGATGTTAGCTGCGGTCTAAAAAGGCATTTTTTAGCCCTTTGATAGAGAGCTAGGTTCTGCTAAGTTAATACATACTAAAGGAATTTTATTTTCTTTTTAACCTGTGGTCTGGTAAGTCTATCTAGTAGCAGGATGTGTCAGTAACAGAGTAGGCAAGCCGATAACTTGTAATTTGTCTCTGGAACTGCAACATCCCAACCTCTCCACAAGGATGAGGTATTTATTAGTCAGGCTGTAGGCACAGCTTCTTTTCAGGGATTCCCATTCACAGTTCCAACAATAATATTCCTAGCCTGATTCAAATTATGTGCTCAACTAGCCTAAATCGAGTGCTGTCTTGCGCTTGCCCTGTGACTCGTAGGTCACATAAAGTATTTGGGCTTCTACTTCCTCGTGTGCAAAGCATGTTGCATTTGCCAGGCGGTGTTCTAATGGGAAGTAAAATTCTAATATAGCCTCGGTGTGGGAGCACACACAAGTAATTCTAGCACTTGAGAGGCTGGGGAAGGATGATGCTAAATTTGAGTTAGCCTGGGCTACCTACTGAGACCCCTGTCTCAAAACCACCACCTAATATATTCAAGGTACTTAGAATAGTAGTACCTGAAGGTAACAAGACATGGCCATATGTGTGAATAGGGAGAATTTTGTACTTAAAAGGAGTAAATTCTATTCTATATGTGAATATCAACCATGACTCACAGCTTTTAGATAATGCAGTCATTCATCCTAGCCATAATGCCTCTCTCTATTTCTGGATTATAGTGAATACAGTTGGCTAGTTCCCCCTGCTGGAAGTCAAAGGTATTGCAGAGCACTTAACAGTTTTTTTGGTTAAATGTAACTGTTACAGAAAAATGTATGGACAGTGTGTGCGTGCGTGCGTGCGTGCGTGCGTGCGTGCGTGCGTGTGTGTGTGTGTGTGTGTGTGTGTGTGTGTGTGTCCTGCTGAAGTTTAATATAATTGCCATCACTATAAGGAAAATTTTATTTTATAATTGTGGTCATGATAGATTGTGCTTACAAAAGCACTAACTGTTGCAAACAAAAGCATGAATTTATAATTTAGAAAGAAAATACTATAGGTATTTTATTTTCCCAGGCAAAGTCATAGTGATAATAATAGCAGCAGCTAACTACAGTTTTCATAGTATTTATTTTGTACCAGTAGTGTTTCATACCCTCCTGATGAGGTATGACTGCCATCTTCATAAAGAGGGGAGTCACATGACTTTCTCAAGACCCCACATGACTGACTGGTAAGGCCAGATTCCAACAGAGACACTCTAACACCAGGGACCCCTCTTCCCCGGTAACCAGAGTACCAGTGTGTAAAAGTTTTTAAGGTACTTCTTTGAAAATTCCCTTCGGGGCTGGAGAAATGGCTGGGTGGACAAACTGCTCACCATCCGAGCATCAAGACTCGGGTTTGCTCCCCAGAAGCCGTGGAAAAGTCTAGCACTATGGAGTCCACCAGTAATCCCAGCACCAGGAAGGCAGATACTAGAGGATGCTTGATGTTTCCAGACCAGTCAGAAAATGAGATGCCAGCTTTTGGCCTCCACATGTGTGTATGTGTACATGAACACACACACACACACACACACACACACACACACACACACACGCACGCGCGCGCGTTTCATTCTTCCTTTCCCTCTACTGTTCTAGGATTTATTTTTATTTGCGTGTCTGACTGTTTTCCCGGAATGTATTTAAGTGTAACTACACATATGCCTGGTGCTGCAGAAACAGAGGGGCATGGGGGACCCCCTGGAACTGGAGGAAGAGATGGTTGTAAGACATTTGGGTGCTGGGAAACATTAACCCAGGTCCTCTTAGGAGGAGCAAGTGCTACACTAGGCCGTCTCTCTAGCCCCTCTTCCATTCTCTGTGCTCCTACACTAGACCATCTCTCTAGCCCCTCTTCCATTCTCTGTGCTCCTACACTAGGCTGTCTCTCTAGCCCCTCTTCCATGTTCTGTGCTCCTACACTAGTCTGTCTCTCTAGGTCCTCTTCCATGCTCTGTGCTCCTACACTAGGCCGTCTCTCTAGCCCCTCTTCCATTCTCTGTGCCCCTACACTAGTCTGTCTCTCTAGCCCCTCTTCCATGCTCTGTGCTCCTACACTAGGCCGTCTCTCTAGCTCCTCTTCCATGCTCTGTGCCCCTACACTAGTCTGTCTCTCTAGCCCCTCTTCCATGCTCTGTGCTCCTACACTAGGCCGTCTCTCTAGCTCCTCTTCCATGCTCTGTGCCCCTACACTAGTCTGTCTCTCTAGCCCCTCTTCCATGCTCTGTGCTCCTACACTAGGCCATCTCTCTAGCCCCTCTTCCATTCTCTGTGCTCCTACACTAGGCCGTCTCTCTAGCCCCTCTTCCATTCTCTGTGCTCCTATACTAGGCTGTCTCTCTAGCTCCTCTTCCATGCTCTGTGCTCCTACACTAGGCCATCTCTCTAGCCCTTCTTCCATTCTCTCTTCTCTCGTGGACATCTAACTTCCCACCAGCTCTTTCCCAGAATGCACTGCAATGCTGACGTTCTGGGCCTGTCTGTCAGATCCAGGAGGCTTTGTTAAAGCTGTGCTGTGACTGTGCAGGTGCGTCTGCAGAGAAGGTCTTTTCATTGGCTTTTGAATAGTTGTGTCCTCTGCGTGTGGCAAGTATTCCTAGCCAAGCACTGAGCAGAATATCGGGTGATCTGAGTTTTCTTTCTCACAGACAATGTGATTCCCTCCCCTCAAGTCCCTTTTTCTTTTAATTTGCCTGTCTGTCGCCTGTCTGTCGGTTTGCTTGCTTGTTTGTGTGTCAGAGACAGCTTGTCACTGTGCAGCCCAAGCTGGCCTCAAAATCTTGGTCCTTCTGTGTCAGCATTCCAAATGCTGGGGTTCCAGATTCCTGTACCACACTGGCTTTCCCTCCATCTGTCTCTGCCTGCTCATGTGACTTTCCATTATTCCACTCCCTCAAGTCCTATTTCTTCAGCCTCTCTGCTCAGTCATGTGATGGTAAATATTTCCTTATTTTTTTTTTCCTGACTTGTAGCATTTACCAATTGGTATATTGTACATATTCACTCTGGGCTGACAACTCCCCTATCATCTTGGTCACTAAAATTCTGAGGTCACCCTTGATTCTTTATCTTACATTTTGTGGCCCAATAATTAAGAAATTTGCCACTCACTTACTTCCCAAATATTTCCAGGGTCTAGCATCTCCACTCTATCCATGCTGATTGTCTGTGCTTTACCGACTCAACTGCCTCTTCTCAGCTCACTCCTGTACCTGTCTTTCACTTATCACTAGAATAATGGGACTCAATGGAGCCTGGCAATCCCCTTGACATACCTGTTAGGGAATACTCTCTCAGATATGACATAATCAGAGTCATTACCATCTTAAACAGAGCAGGTGGAGTTTCCCATGTAAGACTTGGCCTACTAACGAAAGGGGAAGGGAACATCTGACCCTCACCCGAGACAATAGCCACTTCCTCTCTCCTGCCTCTGCCAGATACATGTAATTCTGCCCCAGCTGCCTGGGGTCTTTGGAGTATACAGGAAGTAGAAAGCTAACTAGTAGTGGAACTCTATCTACACAACTTTTGGGAGGTCATCCTCCATGACATGGTGGGACTTTTCAGTGACGAAGCTGTTTGGGGACCACAAATGGATGTTGTCATTGTAAGCAATTCCTTATCCAGGCTTCGTATAAGTAACCCCTCAGCCACACTTCAGATAAGTAACTCAATAAACCCATTGGCTTACAAAGTGGACATGGGTAGAATCATTCCTTTGATGTAACCTTGGGGC